GCGTTTCAGCTGGCGCTGATTCTCCTCTGTTTCTGCATCACTCCTTCTTCTTCTCCTACTACTAGTAGTAGGTATGGTGTCAGAATGCTGACTCACAACAGCATTATCTTGCCATGGGCTTGCCTTGTGGTTCTTCAGCCTTCTTCAAAACAAAACAAAACTGATCTTTTTGGAAAGGCATGGATGGTACACAACAGAATAGGCAAAATAATTAAGACCTGCGTAGAAAATTAAGCAGTAACCTCATATCAACTATCTTCTTAAAATCAGCACACTTTCCTGCCATGAAATCAAAACTAGCTTTCACAGTCTGACAGTCTAAGAGTGGGGATGTAATTTACTCTATTTCTAAACTGAATTTGCACAAGGAAGATATGAAGATGTGAGGAAAAGGGCGTAAGAGAAAGAAGGACTTCTCCCTTACCTGATTCCATTGTCCACATGTTCAACCCAGCCGTCTTGCCCCAGCAACAAGGTCACTGTTGGAGATCGAAACACGTTGGACTGGACAGGCCCACGCTTTGCCAAACGCCGAGCCCCAAGAGCACCAGCAACCACTTCCCAGAGCTCCTCCCCTAAAACAGGAACAGAGGCTCAATAGCAATAACTACTTTGTGTTGTCGAAGGTTTTCATGGCCAGAATCACTGGGTTGCTGTGAATTTTCCGGGCTATATGTCCATGTTCCAGAAGCATTCTCTCCTGATGTTTCACCCACATCTATGGCAGGCATCCTCAGAGGTTGTGAGGTGTGTTGGAAACTAGGAAAGTGGGGATTATATACCTGTGCAATAATGTCAAAGGTGGGAGAAAGAACTCTTGTCTGTTGGAGGCAAGTGTGAATATTGCAATTAATCACATTGATTAACATTGCAAAGCCTTCAAGGCCTGGTTCCTAGGAGGGAATCCTTTGTTGGGAGGTGTTAGTTGCAACATTCACACTTGACTCCAACAGACAAGAGTCCTTTCTCCCACCCTGGACATTATTCCACGATATATAAACCTCCCTTGCTTAGATTCCAAAAGACCTCACAACCTCTGAGGATGCCTGCCATAGGTTCAGGCGAAACGTCAGGATAGAATGCTTCTGGAACATGGCCATACAGGCCGGAAAACACACAGCAAC